TTGACGGCTCCGTCTTTATATTTATTTTTGCCACAAATGGAAGACTCTACACTTTTAGGCCTTCTCCAAAGGCTTGCAAGTATAGACATTTCCTACCAAGCGCCCGCCGTATTTGAAAAAAAAAACCTTTGATATTCTACTACCGGAACCGCAAAATTAATTTGATTTCAACACATCAGAAATGAAGTTTAAGAGAAGCTACTTATCGGACAGGTATCAGCAAGTTTAATTTGGGAATGTAATTTCAAATCGCAAAGAAATCATCTCTGGAGCTCCCCAGTGCTTTTTCGGGCAAATACTTTTCAGTTTAAGTGTTTCAGTTTTAAGTGTGAGGTAACTTCCCATTGGTCTTGGCGAAGATGTAATAACTAATTTGAATGGGGATCTACCAAGATTTGAGGAACGGTCTTACATAAATTGTCTCTGTCTAAATGCTAAGAAAATGTAGAAAATTATCTTGACTTCAAAATTAATGCCCGTCTAAATGGTGAGGATCACATAAACTACACCGATTACCACAGAGCTTAAACTGGTTCGGTCCCTTTTTGTTTCCCAAATTTCCTATTTTGAAGTTATATAGGGTACTCTAAAAAATATTCTCGCCTTGCTAATTATCTCAAGGTTCGCAATTTAATATTGGGTGTATGCATTAATTCGTGCGGTTTTCCAAGAGTGGGCTCTACTAGTATTATTTCGCGTCATGTTCATCTGTGGCTATATTCATTTCAATGGTACTGTCATTTCGCGTCGTGTTCATATGTTTTAGAGTGAACAACAATTTGTTTCATTCAATTGAAATTTTCGTAGTTTGTACCAGATAAATTGTTTTTGCGGGGAGTTCTTCTCCTTTACTTTAACATGAAGAAAAGTACTACCGAAAGCCATCGTATTTTACTAGACGTTTATGGTGGTTTTCACGGTTTAATAGCGGCAATTTCGTCTTAGACGACGGAGAACGACCCGGATAGCCAAAAATATTTCAAGACGAACAATTGGAGACATTGCTGGACGCAGATGCATGCCAGACGCAAGAAGAACTTGCAAAAGTATTAGGAGTTGACCAATCAACCGTTTCCAGACGATTAAAATCATTAGGATTCATCCAGAAGCTTGGAAAACGGGTGCCTTATGAATTAAAGCCAAGAGACGTCGAACGTCGATTCTGCATGTCAGAAATGTTGCTTCAACGCCACCAAAAGAAGTCATTTTTGCTTCGGATTGTCACTGGCGATAAAAAATGGATTCATTACTATAACGCAACGCGCAAGAGATCGTGTCTGAAGCCCGGCTAACCATCGTCATTAACGGCAAAGCCGTATATCCTTGGTGCCAAGGTTATGCTATGCATTTGGTGGGACCACAAGTGTGTGCTCTATTATGAGCTATTGAAATTGGGTCAAACGATCAATGGGAACCTCTACCGAAAGCAATTGATTCGTTTAAAAAAGGCCATCGCGGAAAAACGACCAAACTATGCGACCAGACAGGAATCAATAATTTTTCATCATGACAACGCTCGGCCCAATGTTGCAAGGCCAGTTAAAAACTATTTGGAAAACTGTGGGTGGGAAGTTCTACCTCGCCCGCCTTATAGCCCAGACATAGCATCTTCCGATTACCACTTCTTCAGATCAACGCACAATGCCCTCACCGGAGTACGCTTCACTTCATAACCGAAAAAATAAATTGAAATTGAATTATTCTTGGTGGCATTCAAACCCTCCATCACTAGTTTGAAGCACATAGTGGTAAGTCAGTGTCCGTTTTAAGTAATGGATAGAAGAGACGATCGCTCATTCATTACATGCATGTCATTGTCCACGATTCACACCTAAATTGACCACCTTGAGAGTGACATCTATTGAAATAAGAAGCCCATCCGATCACTCTGCTCTTGAGGAAGTTCTGAAATCTGGAATATATGCAATGTTATCGACATTAGGTTTGATCAATTCCAACTGAACTACGTTGGTTATTTTTGGGGTTCAATTTTATTCTAGAGACTCGATTGAAAAGCTTTGCCCTTAAGTTAAGCTAAAAGTTTTAACTACGTTTGGATCCACTTGGTGAGATGATAATGTGTGAAGGGGATCAGATCTGAAAGCAGTAATCTGAGGATGAAATATCTCCTTCTAGCAGCTTTCTGAATGGAGTACCTTGTAGGGTAATCAAAGAAAGTACTCGTTTGAGGATACTTACAGTGATACCAAATCTTACTGAAAATTGTAAGCACTCGTATGATAAATTTTTTATTCTCTTTACGCATAACCTACCCGGTGTCTCCAGTTTTTTTCTTTGCTCTTCTTTCTTAGCTTCATGTGTAACTTCGCCCGCAAAAAGAGAAGCAGACAAATCTCAACAGCTGGAAAGTGTTAAAGATACTTGAGTTTGAGTGTTGCGAAATGCCAAATGATGGTGACAAGTGTACACTTGGCGAATAACTGCAACAACAGCAACAACAACAACGTTACAAGTCCCAAAGAATCACCAGAGAAGGCAAAGAAACTCGTTCGTTCGATTGGCTGCGTATGCGCATATCATTGTCATGGCAATATTGCTGATTCCTGAAACTATTTGACTTGTTGTGTGTATGTGTTGTTGCTGCTGTTGTTGAACTCAAGATTTATTGTATCCTTTCAACTTTCAATCCGCTGTTGGTGTCAATCTGCGCGCGGCTCCACTGTGGCTCTGTGGTGACTGGTGTCATGTGTTGATGGCTCGATAACGTTGTTGGTGGTGGCGGTGTTGCTTGGATGCCACAACAGCGTTGGTTGGTTTTTTCTTTTTCATATATATTTTTTATTTGCTTCTTCTGTAGTCGTATAGGTTTTTCCTACACTTTGTAGACATGTCTTTTTTGTGTCATCATCTCCCGCTTTAGACTCATGCAAAGCTAACAGTTCTCATTGTCTTGGCTATTTGGTACCAGAATTAACAATTTTAAATCTGACTTTATTTCTCTATTTCTTGTTGTTTGTGTGTGTGGGTATTTTTGTTGTATTTAGAGTTTAGCTGAAAGGAGTGCGTATTAAAAGATTTCCTCATTAGCTGCCACGCATTTCCACTTTAATTTGATTTGGGCGTTTCGCTGCTGGCGTTGTACTTGTTGTTGATTTCAATGTTGTTGTTCTTTTTACTTTTTGAAAGATAATTCTTTTGTTTTTTCATGTTTCGCGGTGAAATATGAGTTGGTTGACTGTGACACTGCGGGAGGTTAACTGAAGTTCAGCCGAGGAGGTGGTCTCTTTGACGTCGCATGTGCGCAAGATGGTCGGTCATACGGTGATGCCATGTGTATTTATATACATATGCACATACATGCAGTGATACATACATATATGTATATATATATCTAAGAGATATCTGTGGAAACTTTTTAATTTACAACAGTCGAAAAGTGAAAAGTTTTGCGCAACCTAAATTATACATATATGCTCTCTCACACACACACATACATATATATTCATACAATTAATATTTTCTCTAAATGGAACTAAGAAGATGTGTTGAGATAAAAAATTGAGTTTAATGTTGTTTTTGTTTCATAAAATAGTAATAGATTAACTAATTTATATCTTAATGGAGAATAGAAGTTTGGTTAGGTTAGACTACCACGAACAGGTCGACCCATTGAGATGAGTTGCACCACACACGACTTAGCCCAAGGTCACATTCCATAGTTCGAGAATACTGGTTGTTTTGCGAAATTCGAAATAACTCTCTTGAGTTCTGCTAGTGTCTACATTTTACTAAGTTTCTTCCGCTGAACTAGCTTACATCGTACCATGACTTTATCATTAGACCGAGCAGCTAACTCTCTAAATACTTTCCCCTTTTCTTAGCCGTTCGTGAAGTTTCTCCGTCACTAACTGGCCGGGATTCATGTGCCGTTCCTCAGTCTTTTTATGGTTGCTGCCGTCGTTGTTGTAGTAACCGCAAAGGTATTCCCTAAATTGGTTTTCGTGGATTATTGCTGATGTTTACAGTTCTTGGTGATTTGGGTATGAGGACCCGACCTTTTACCCGGCGCAGTCTTACCGCGGGAAAACTCTAGAACCCCTAATCTACGTAGGGGGTAGTCCTGTTATGGTCTTTTAGGTTGGCTGCACTTGATCACAAACTTTGAACTGAGTTCAACTCGTTTTAACTATATTTCTCACCAAAATTAGGCGCTTTTTCTTCGCGCATATTGAAGGACTCTAGCTCTAAGGTTCTGTTTCATGTGAAGTGCTTCGATAAAGCTTTCTATGCAGCGCTTATAGTATCTACTCTTCTTGTTGCTACGATCTGACTGCCAGCTATAATTGTAGTGCTTATCCAGATTGGATTTCCTTTTTTTTTTTTTTGGTATTAACGGTGTACTTGTTTCCGGTAGGATTTCTTCATTCCCAGCTCTTTTTTTGTGAAGTATTTATATTTTTCGAAAGACCAATTATCTACTGTTGTGGGTACAGCTCTCAAAGTGTGGTGTGTGAGGAACGAGAAAAAAGTACTATTTGCTAAGGTAAGACCAACGTAACTCGCTTTAGACTCTAGGTGTTAGAAAGACTGCCTAATATACATTCCCTTGTATATAACATGTGACAAATCCTCCTACGGCTTAAGTCGCTCTTCTCAACATCAACCCTCAGCTGTATGACGGATAGAAAAGCTGCTATGCTATACAGATGCAGAAAAAATCTGAGCCCCTAGACCAGTATCCTCGCGACGGCTGAAATCTTTTTTTTTTTGAACTCTCCTCATTCCAGTTTATTTTTTATTTTGTTTATATTTTGAATTACAATTTTTTGACGGGTGGCAATCCTACTGTTTCTTCTGGCGGGCACCTCATCGAAAGCTTTCAAATCCAGAGTTTACATACCTTTATTGGTTTCCGAAAAAGGCACACAGTGCTAAAGGGTCGACGGTGCATTAAAAATTTATATTATATTTATTAATTAAAAAAAGACCTTAAAATCTAAATTTTAATTTGTACTTTATTTTTCCTTTGTTATTTTTAGTTTACAATCGAAAAGAGCTGATTGGTTCACTGCACGCATACATCTCAAAATAAAGGTAAATGCACTTGAAAAAAATATAGTTGGTAAAAATTTAATAAATCGCACTGCGAGATATATATTTTTTCGAATAAAACCGATTTCCATTTTTATATATGACCTAGTAAAAAGTTATCACTTACTTTTTCATTATGTCATTATGTCTCTCACATATTTAGTAACCCTAGTCCTTATTAGCGCAAAATTGACTTACTTAATTCGCCATAGACACGAAAAGATGGTAATCACTTGGTGCAAAGCCCGTACTGTAAGATGGATGCTTATGGATCTCCAAACCAAGCTCTCCGAGCACCCGCCACAAACTGTGTATGGTCTCATGTTGCCCTGAGCAAATACAATTCTTTTCTGTTGGTCAAATAAGCGTTTCTGGGCGATCGCTTTCTTCAGAGGATCCAATTTCTGCCGGTACAGATCCGAAATAAGTGCTTGGTCATAGGGAACAGTTCGTAGTGGATGATTCCTCGCAAATCACGCACAATAAATCCTTCCTGGCCGGTCTAGTGCATTGATTCACTTATTTAAATTTTTGGCTATATAGTTCCATCAAGGACCAATTTTAACGATGATATGTTGAACGTGAAGGTCGTTCAAATACAGTTGTTGTTCTGAAAACAATTGATGCTGGGCGCAAACTGATATTGCAAGATCGTCATTTGACCTGTCGCGAGATTGAGATAAGTTTAAGCATTCAATATTTCATTAAGACTTGACTGCTCCAAAAAAATAAAAATTATCCAGATTGGATCACAGAAATGTTAAAAAATACTGGGGCCGGTACTTCGAAACACGTCTAGATGGTGAGTCGTGAATTTATGCGTATGAACCCGGAAGTTAAGAGCAGTCAACTGTATCGATGTTCAAAGATGAGCTGAAAAATTGCCTGCGCACGAAGCACTACCAAGCAAATGATTGCCTATTTTTCTTTTTTTCTTTTGAAAAACCGGACTTGTCACAACCGTGAGTTTATTTGACAGTTGTCTTTCCAGAAATTAGGAAAACCAACCGGCGAAGACGAATAGCTTATCACCACAACAATGCGAGCTCTTCTCACACATCGAAAGAAATAACTGCATTTTTGAGCACTCAAAATATGGAGCCATTCAGCATCCATACTAATTTGACATCGAAATAAACTGAAAGGTCAATGTTTTGCGACACCTTAAGGGTCGGGATATCTCAGAGTGGCAAAAGTGCTTTCACAGCTGGGTCAAACGCAAGCAAAACTAAATAAATCTTAATGGAGAATAAAGTTATTTTCGGTGATTTTTATTTATTTTTGCTTTTTAATCTCGAAAACGAACAGAGCAACCTTCATATTACTTCCCATCCCCCAAAAATGGTGGCTGAAAAGTTAAAAAATCTAAAATCTAAATCTAAAAATCTGATCTTAAACAAAAAAACTAAAGTTATAGTTTTGTACAAACTAGATTTAAATTATCCGTAGTTAGGTTAGATAAGGTTGTTACCGTTGTTACCAGTTAGGCCCATTGAGATGCCATAAAAGCTTGACCATTATCGCTTCGCTATACAACCATTTCGATTCTCTAATTAATCTCATTAGATCCATGACTTGGACGTCGGCTATCTTCGAAAGACCATCCAGAAGTGGGGTCAGAAAATTCCGAAACCCAGCACTAAAAAAAGCAGGAGAGTCGCTTAAGATATGGTTGATCGTTTTCTTCTTCTCATTATCCTTGCAGCTTCTGCAGCATATTCTATAAGGAGTCTCTAGTCTCTAGATTTTCTCCATATCCGCGTTATTGCAAAATTAGATTTGTAATGAGCTCGGATGGGCTGAGAGAGGATATTGCTAGTGGATTTTAGGAAATATTTTTTGTTTTTATTTATTTATTTCTCTATTTTTACGTTGACTGGTATTTTACTAGTATGATGCTGATGTCTTTTTTATGTTTCATCTAGCAGGTTAGAATATAACTGATTCTTTCCAAATTAGGCTGCATAAAATATTTGGTAATTAAAAACTCCTTTACCTCTACTTTCCGCTTACACACAATACTAGTTCAGGTCCAATATAAAATTTTAATTTACTCAGTTTTACTGCGGTGATTTTACAGAGCATTACATCAAGCACCCGGCATCTTTTGCCCTACATCGCTTTTCCCCAATGGTTGCTTGACTCAATGAATGAAATCAAATAAACATGTATATATTATTTTTGGATATTTCAATATGAGAACAATAAAAAAGTGTATGAAAATATTTTATTTGAATTTATGTAACGATTATATTGGGTTGGCTCAAAAAGCTGTAAAACGGCATACTCAGGAAACGAGATGTTTCGGATTCGGACCAGATGGAGATGGGTGTTAGATGGGTGTTAGAATAGGGTAGTGGTGGGTAGGAAAAGAGGTGGTTAGTGTTGTGCAGGGATTTAAGGCACTCGCAATGAATGTTAAAAATGTCGAAGCCGAGTCAGGATAAGTTCGAACTTAGTCCGCTACGGTAAAAAAGATGAGTTTCTCAGCTAACTGTGATACCTTAAACTTCTTAAGGGAGGCGACTCAGTTTCATAATGAAGAATGCAAGTTTCATCTGTAGTAACAATTCTACTTAATACACCATCCTTCTCTTCATAATGGAATCATCATCAGAATTATATTCGTTAGGTTTGTTATTTTTTCTCTCAACCGTCTGCAGCCACAGCACGAATGAGTATGAATTAAGTGCGACTCGCATAATTCGAATAATTAAAAAAAAAAAAAATAATAACGTAAACAACTTTAGTACATGGCCATGCATAACGATAGCGCCATTTATCTATGAACACACGAACACATATAGATTCGTGCATAGTATATAGCGCTCAGTCACAGTATCCACTGAGCCTTCTTTTTACAGGGCAACAAATTGATTTGTGTCCATGCACGTACTATCGACTAGAGTCGGTGGGAGTTGGCCCAAATTGGGTGGGTGATTGACGGTGATTGACTGGCATGCGACTACCGCCTCTACGTGCACCGCACCACGGTGTGTCACTCATAGATTTTCGGCTCCAATATTTGTGTTAAAGATTTGCAGAATTCATTTTATTGGCATAATAATTTGATGTGGGTAAAAGATATCAGCTGACATGCGTTGTGGTTGTGGCGTGCGGCAGAAGGAGAAAAAAAATGATGCTGCTTCAGGGGCAAAATAGCAAAAAAAAAAGAAGGGAAAGTTGCATAGTTTCTACTATGTGATTTTTGGTCGTTTTGGGTTTCTCATTCGTTTGGATTACTTACTAAGATTAGCTCTTTTTTCTCGTTCGCTTTCTCCTTTCGTAATAACTTAATATGTAAGTCTTTTATTTTCTTAACTGTAATCTCTAATTCTTTTTCAAATATTAAATTACCCTTTGATTTTGCTTTATTCACCTTTGCCATTTTCGCCCTAGTCCCCTAATTCCTTCTTTTTCAATATTTTATTCACTCACTTTTCTTAGATGTTCAATTTAATTTTTCGCTGGTGTCGCATTGTCAGTGCCTCAAAAGGATACTATTATGACTCAAGTTCCGTTATATGCATATGTATATCTGTTTGCCAACTTTTGATTTTCTTATATCTTTTTATCTTACTTTGATTCCAATTTCCTCCGTTTTTTTTAACATCCGTTTTGTGCTTTAAATTTTGAATGTCATCTCTACCAAGTCAAAAACAATAATAAAGTAAATAAAATACAATAAAATAAAATAAAATAAAATAAAATAAAATAAAATAAAATCAAATAAAATAAAATAAAATAAAATAAAATAAAATAAAATAAAATAAAATAAAATAAAATAAAATAAAATAAAATAAAATAAAATAAAATAAAATAAAATAAAATAATATAAAATAAAATATAATAATATATAATATTTAAAATAAAAATAATAATTATAATAAAAATAAATACCCATTAAACAAATTTAAATTAAATAATTAACGAAGAAAAAAAAGTAAAAAATAGTAATAAAAAAATAAATTGAAATTAAAAAGTAAAGCAAAAAATGAAAAAAAAATAAAATAAATTTAATTAAGTTTAATCTGACATTTATTTTATTTTAAAATATTTCCACTGAAAATTTTTGAAATACGTAGATTAATATTTCACATGCACTTTATCCTTTGACTTTCAATTCACTGAACGATTTCCAGTGTTTTGCATTTTTTCCAACATCACTCTTTATTAACTTTGCATAAGAGTAAGTGGCTTTAATTGAATTGAAAATTTTGGTAAATGTTTGGTGGCAAAGTGTGACAAGAAAGCAAAAAAAAAAAAAATTCAAGAGAATGAGTTCCTGGGGTAAAGTAGGGGGCGTACGTATTTGCGCGAATGACATGTGAAATGTTTTCCATTCATAAAAATTGCAAAAGTTTATACACGAATTCACAAAGCGCTCTCCTTGCTCCCCGCCGCGTGCCATAAGCGATGTAGTGCTTCGTTTACTCGCTGATTGATTGATTTAGTGAAGCACGTGGCTGTTTGGAATGGTGCCGCTGGGTATGAGTGAGTGAGTGAGTGCCTCTGAGCCTGCTATACCTTGCTGTCCGCCTACATACTTTTCAAAGATACTCTCATTCTATATTTGGTAAATTAATGTATTATATGTATAACTGTCGGTGTGTATTTCTAATATATTTTCACTTTCCATTTTGTGCATCTAAATCTACCTTTTATCGTTCAGTCTTCTCACAGCATCCTTTCCTACATCCTTTGTGCAGTCACCAACTGTCAACTGAGTTAGTTTGCGCTTTTACCTTGAAAATTTCAAATTAAATTTTGATGAGACTCATTTCTCTTCGCTTATTTGGATATTCATAGTGGTTTTGTTGTCGATTTGCTATTTATGAATGAATTCCTGACCTTCCTTCTCCTTGAAGTTGAATTTGAATTTTCTTCCCTTGATCTCTATTTCTGCTCCTGGTGTGAAATTTTATTGAATTTCTTGCCCAGTTAATGTTAATTCTGCGCAGAAAGCTTGAAATTTCCTTAAGAATTATTTCTGTAAGAAATTG